ATATATATATATATATATATATATATATATAATACACTTATACTAATTATATATATATATATATAATTGGTCTGTACTTCGTTCATCACCAATTTTTCCTTGTATATTCCTTGTTTTTTCAGTGTTTCTGAAGTTCCAAATTGCTTTTTATAGGATATGATAGTGATGGTTACAGGAATGACGGGCATACTGTGCCAGTTTTTGGAGATTTTTTCGAACAGTTTAGGCGGGAAATTTCAGTTTTGTCAGCTTTATCAGCTGTCCGGACGTTTTGACTACACTTTCTCCGGTTCAGTTTCTTCTCTGGTAAATGAATTGCAGTTCAATTAGAGCTCCTCATTTCGCTTTATTCCGTTTTTTAATTGTTTGGAGTGTAATTGTCATTGTAAAGATCTCTACTTCTTGTGGTACTGTGTTCCGTTTTTTTAAGGGGTACGTGTGATGTATGCAAGAAATGTCCTTTTTTTGGTGATTGAGAATCACAGTTGCATAAAATTGAATAGTTTAATTAGAACTCATTTTCCTGTAATTTTTCCACGCTTTTCCCAGAACTTGTTTCAAAGTTCAATGAAGACCTGAAACTGGTTTAATAACGTACAAGTCAAAGCGAACTGTAGTACTGAGGCAGTTGAAAAAAATTTGAAGTTACTGAAGTAAAGCTAGGAGACGTTACAGCGAGTGAAGTTACGGTTCTTTTCGCGGACCAAGTAGTAAATCGACTGACGCTTCTCCTCAAGCGGTGCAAAGTAGGCTGTAAGAGTCTTTGAAAATATCAGAATTGTTGATCGCCAGAAGTGGTTATTAAACCCTTTGTTTGTTAAAATGCAATTTTCAGATGTGGATTTTGGGGTAGTACAATGAACGGAGACGATAAGATACGGAAACAAGTTAGTGCTGCGTTTCAATTACGAGCGCTTTCTTTGAAAAGGTCTTTTTATTGACTTTCTCTGACATCATAGTTGTTGTGTGTAGGGTTGACACTATATAAAGATTGGAATATTCACTTATTGGTCTCTATGTTTTGTGTACAATTTAGGGATGCGTTGAATTATGCGGTGGATCTTCTTTCTGAGTTCGATAATTCTCAACGGGCAACATGGATTGAAAAAATAATAGCGGCTCTTGCAAAGCAAAACGGTTTCTTTATTTTCAGTATTGTTTTTAACTATTAAATCATATTTTGTCCAGTTAATTTAATTCGAAACTACTGCAGTTGTGCTGTTGATTATCAGTTATTTCTAGTGGATAGCCCTCTTATTGACCTGAAATCCTTTGAAGCAGCTGTTAGCATATGCGCCAATAAGAAGTCTGGTGAAAGGTAATATCTAGCGATGGGTTAGCTTGAAAATTTTTTTTTAGTTATTGTTTTAACTTCGAAAGTTCTAGTCGTTGATATTTTATAGTAAATCGATATTCCACTTAATTGACGTGTTTTCTGCTCCTAAAATCAAGTTTGATGGAAATGCCGGTAAAGTTATAGCGGCAGTTGAGGACGGTTCAATCATTGGGAAAAGCAATCATGTCGTCGATATGCTAAGGAATAGGTTGAGCCTCGTTCTGCAGGTCTTTTAAAACTGAGCAATTTTTTAAAAGTTTGTAGGATTTTTTGTTTTTGGAGTCTTCTTAAAAGCAAATTTATTTTCTAGCAACATCTTACAGTTTTCGTTTATTAAAGTATCCTTTAGCGGTCTTCACGCAGTTCAGCATTTGAACATTTTCGTTTGAGCTCCGTGGAGGATTTGCTTGGCATTGCTCGAAATGCCAACGATGTCGTAATTTTGGGAATGCTTTCTCAGAGAGATGCGGAAAGATATCAAATTGAAGATCTTACAGGTATGAGTGGCCAAGTGAACTTCTTCAGCCTATTTGCACGCTCATTTTTTTGGTTTTGGAGCGGATTTGGCTCATCAGTTCGTGTCGAGACTTGTAAAACCGATCAAGCATGCTGATTTTTTTTAAAAATTTGTTGATCATTTCCTTTCAGGTTGTATTCCTGTAGATCTTTCAAATGCAACTTTTCATTCCGGCTTATTTACTGATGGATGTATCATGCTTGTTGAGGGGGATTTTTGCAACAACACACTGGAAGCCTCTGGTGTGGGTCTTGCGCCGATTGAAAGCGCTTCTGCAACTCGATCTCATTTTGGTAACGAAAATTGGTTTGGCGGTGAAAGCCCAATAGCGTATCCAACCATACCTCGTTTGCAAAAAATTAATGCAAGTAATCCTGAAGCACGTATTATATTTGTTGCTGACGTTTGGCTGGATGATCCTAAGGTAGTTGTAAAATATTATTTTCCGCTTTTAAACTTCTTTTTCTATCATTTTGATGTTACAAAGAATTGTATGTTTTCAGGTAGTGAACGGTATTTACAGTATGTTAGTTGGATTTGCTGAAATGCCACCTATAGCATTCATTTTCTGTGGGAATTTTTGTTCTGTTTCTGGTACTCCTGAGGCCTATCGAAAGCTAAGAGGTGTGTTGAGGATACGTTTATTTGTTATCGCAGTTTTTACTTCGTCGATGGAAGTTCGGGAAGCGAAAGATTTCGCTTTTGAATTTTCAGATGGCTTTCGTAACCTCGCCAAGCTCATTTCGCAAGTTTGTCAAGAGCATGCGGATCTGCAGAACTCAAATTTTGTTTTCGTTCCTGGACCTGAGGACCCTTCTTTGCCTTCAATTCTTCCAAGGTCTTTTTTTATTTTGTTCTTATCGTGATTTGGTAAAGTTTGCAATGTTACTTTTCACTTGGACATTTATAGCAGTCTTTCTCATAATTTTATCAGTTAAGGTAGTACTTTTGACTAAGTTCCTTACATACCTTCTTTAGAAGTGGACGTTTGTTTTTGTTTTAGGCCACCTTTGCCGTATTCTTTATTTGAAGAACTAAAAGGAGTCCCTAATCGTTCGTTTGCCTCTAATCCTTGTCGGATTCAGTATGCTGATCAAGAAATCGTAGTTTTTCGGTACGACATTGTTGAAAAAATGTGCAGGAACAGTATTCATATGCCGTCAAAAACTGCTGATATTGCAGAACAGGTTAATTTTTTCGCCAAAATGCGCTTCTATAATTTTTATTTTTTGTTAATAAGGGATTTAACTTGAAAATTTAAATTGGTTACAGCTTTGTAAAACCCTTGCCTCTGTCGGGCATCTCTGTCCCTTACCACTTCATATCTCGCCAGTTTACTGGCAAATGGATCATGCGTTAACACTGTATCCGTTACCGAATCTAGTAGTTGTCGCGGACCAGTTCCAACAGTTTGTGATACCGCAGCATGGGTGCATCTTTGCGAACCCAAGCTCTTTCGCTCGATCTCAGTTAGATTTTATTGTTTATTATCCTTCGAACAGTGAAGTGGAGCGTAGCAGTATTAGTTTTTGATCACTTTTTCCCTTCTTATTTAAGAGTCGTATGAGAGAGTACATTTATGACAGTGTATGGCAGTGTGCAAGAGCAAATTTTTTTTTGAATTTTGTTATCAGTTCTTACCCTATTAATCTTGTACGTCTTCTGTTTTGCTTTTTGCTCTTTTTCGCTTCCTTCTGCTCAGCAGTGGAAGTTGGAAGATTGACAGTTTTTTATGTTTTATTACGAAATTCGATTTCCTTCACGCGGGGTTTATATCAGTCTTATTTTGGAGTTGCCTAAAACAGTCTGAAATGACTACTTTTGTTGTTGAAATGTGGATGGATTCTTTACCTTTAATATTCGGCGGCGAACTATCGGGTACGAGAAGAAGCTTTGTCGTCTTTACTGCTTTTTTCTTCAAGTATTTTGATTAACTATTTTCTTGATTAGGGTGATTTCTATCTTGCTGGTTTACAAATGGTTAACATAGATCTTGCCTGGCTGAGAGACGTATGATTTTAAAAGTGATGTAATAAATATTCATTGAACAGTTTAATTTGTTGTTGATGAATTTCACTGCTTTTCATTTTAACTCTTGTAGAGTTAAAATAAAATTTTGTCAGGTCACTGGTTTAGCTGAAACACTCAGTATTTTTGGAGACTAATAATGTAAGACGAATCATGGTTAGATTAGTTTGTAGTTTGCAACAAAGTGTATGAATAGTTGGAACGATAGGGCTGTGGCAGATAAAATTACTAATGAGAAGTGGCGGTGTGTCGGGAATCGCTAAACTTGTGTATTTGTTGGTAGGAAATTTTTTAGTTAGTTTTTTTATTGTGTAAGGTTTTTTGGGGGTTGTAAAGGAAGGTGGGAGGGTTCTGACTGGAGCAGCAAAAGTTATTTTATTGAGCTGTTTCCAATTGGTGGCGGGTCGTCCTTGCTGGTTCTAGCAAAATTAATCAGATTACGCCTAGCTCTCATTGGCTTGACTGGACGAGACAAAATTAGGGTTACCAGACTGAAAAATCCCGGTTATTGTTGTGCGGTAACATTTGGACATCTGCCTCTGCAGGTTAAAGCTTGACTGAAATGTTAGGTTCTTCAAATTCTGTACATGCATCAGGAAAGAAAGCGAAATACCAAGGTGAAGTTTGAACAGTGACGAAGAAAATTGAAGTTCCTCATTTTTTTATTGAGTGCTTCTCAACCGTTTATTGAAGGTTGAGGAAGCGCTGTGTTGCGAGATTGCAGGTAGGTTATTCGCAATAAGAATTTTGGAGAAATCTTCATTTCCTGATGGTTTTTTTTTCTTTTTTTGGTGTCTAGTGTAACTAGAAAAGCTATTTTTCAAGAAAAGTTTTCAAAATGACGCATTAGGGACCTATTTCTGTGTCAGATTTCGGTGATTATTTCAAATTGTCAGAGGAGTAATTTATTGATTTGTGAATGATGTGTGTAGCAAAACTTCAGATTACGGTAATGATAAGGAAGTTTTATTGGCAACTGTAGTTGTAAGTGATTATTATTCAACGCGTCATTGGGTAGTTTGGCTGAACCATACATTTGTTTAATAACTTTGTGGTCGTTTCTGAACAAATTATTATTCTGTTTGGTTTGTGTTCATCGTAATGTGTTTTCATTGCATTTAGTAATAATTCAAAACTTTGTTTGTCTTTGAGGGGTGATAGAATTTGAAGAGTTTACGGGGAAACTTGCTTAAATCAGTATTTGGTGATGAAAATCCAGTGTTGATGAATGTTAAGTTGGGAAAAGGTAGCTATGGTTTTTTCACAAGATGCTTTTTGTGGTCGTCCGTCAAGTTGCTTTTTCTAAGGACTTTGGAGCTGGGTTTCTCAATTTCAATATTTGTAGCAGAAATTAAACGTACGTATGACCATTATGATCATAGTTGGATAATATTTTAGTAAACAAAGTATTGCATTCTTGATCAGTATATTAGATAATAAGGAAAGGATCAGCAACGTTCCCTTTGTGTATTCCAAAAGTGACTCTTTTTACCAGCCTTGGGGTGAAAATCTTTCTGATTTTCAGAGAATATTAAGGCGATATAAGAGAATTTTCCTACGGCATTTTAGTTGGTTTTAGTTAAATACGTTTCTTTCTTCTAGCTCACAAGTTATTTCACGTACACACATCCCTTTCCGTTCCGCCAGTCAGTAATCTCTAATTATAAGGCCACTAGAGTTAGTAGGACAAAAAACGTCTTTTGCTCACCTGTTTAAGTTTCAATTTTTCTTAGGACATTATATGGTCGCTCCAGCGAAGTTATAAGAAACAACGTTATTTTAGAATATGAAATTGTGCTACATACAGTGATTCAGACAAACAGTGGGTACATCTGCATTTATTGTGTTGAATTTTAGATTCTTAAGAACATTAGAAATTTGACTGCGAAGACGCTACTTTTATATTACTCTTAAAGGGTTAGTGGGCTGAAAAGTTGAAGGGGATAGATGTCAAAATATTATATTGAACGAATAGGTATGCGAAGTAGGAAAAGAAGAGAGATGTAAGAATCTGCTTTGGCAGCTCAGATTTTTGTAGTGAGGCGAGGGTGGGACTCCCCACTTGAAGCATCCGACAAAGGACTTTTTTCAAGGATAAAAATCGGCGAAAATTTTAGGAATTCTTGTCTCAAAATTCCTCAGGGTCTATTTGGAGAAAAAGCATTAAAATCCAGTTCTTTTTGACTTTAATGATACGGAAAAAGATTCTAAGTTGCAAAAAACTCACATCAATTGGCACAGTGAGTGAATCAAGTTAGTGAATTATGGGCATTTATGAACCGTAGGAAAAGGAAAAAACGAAGTAAAAAAGTCGTTGCAGCGATGCGTGAGGAAACATTTCGCACGCAAAACAAACAGATTCACCAGGAAAACAAAGGCGAGAACTTAAAAAATAAACCAGAATGATTTTGCGGTCTGCAGTAAATTGATACGACAGATTTGGGATCTGCATATTTGTCACTGTTGAAGGGGAGCCTAAAGTTTTCCAGAAAATTTTTAGGGGTTTAGGAATCTCAGTACTTTATATTTTACAATTAGTTCAGTAAAGCGGGGCATATTTCCTCATAAATCTGCGGACATGAACGACCGCAGTTTCAATTCCTGTGTCTTCCCTACTCAGTAATCTATGCGCGGACGGTTCATGAAAACAACACAGTTTTCAAAAACTAAAAAAAATTTCTGGTTCTGGGACTGAAAATTGCATTCGATAGAAGCTTCGTACAGTGCTGTGGGTTATATGCTTCTCGAGCATCCAGAGAGGCCTTGAACTCGAATGAGGAGAAAATTGACTGAGTAAATGAAGTTGATTTTAAAGGCTTCGAAGTAAGGAAGCAACAAGTTATAACGAAGACCCAGTACCATATGACATTGTACTAATCATCCGAAAAAATTTTTTTTCAAATGAAGTAAAGAAATTGGTGACAAGGACGAAACCAAGTGTGCACCTATTTTTTTTATTTTTTCTCCCGCATTTCTATAACTAAAAGTTGTTTTAGATGGAACACTATTACATTGACGACATAGCTGAGTACGCTGCTAAGGGAAACTTGGAGAGCATCAGGGTTTTGATCAATGTACATCAGGAATTCAATGACGAAATTTTTGGAGAAATTTTGGTTGGCGTTTATAAATGATGTTTTCCAGTGTTTGAAAATTGTTTCTTTCGGTCTTTGTAAACTGTTTTCTCGCTGGCATTCACAAAAAAATCTTCCCACTAATTAAAGATGACTCTATCAGGAAAAGATTAAGCGGTTTGAGGAACATAATAAAATTGAACGGTACTTTCAAATTATTTGTGTAAATATTGTTAAGCAGTTTTACTGCGCGAGAATAAAATCTGAAACACGTTCTTTAACTGCCTGTAGTATTTTCAGCTCTAAATGAATACATTTAAAATTTAGGAAATAGTTACTGAGTTTAATCGAAAATCAAGACAATGATAATCATTGACGGCTTCCTGTGTAGAAACTATTGAGAACTGTGCCAAAAATGAAAATACTCAGCAGAAAGTTCAAATCTCTCTTTTATTTACCACAACCTTCGCTTATTTAAGTCGCTGTACTCTTCTTATACACTTTAGGCTAGACCGATGCTGGCAGCATCCGAGAACGGTCACCGGAATGTCGTTGAATATTTGATGGAGTGCGGGTCCAATCTTGAAGTCTACGATGAAAACGGAGTAATTGCTTGCGACTGTTAATTTAAATGTTGTTTTTACTTCAAGGAAATACTCGACTAGTGCCAAATTTATCTAACTTTTTGGCACATTCTGTTCATGTTCAGCGATTCGTATGAAAAGATTTCTTAAACGATTTTTAAACGACTTTCTACGAGGGAATATAAATCAATGTGCATGCAATGTATATTTAGCAGGGTGAGATTTCAGTCTGCTTGATATCTTGAGGGAGGATAACTGAACCAAATCTGATCACTGAATTGTATATAGTTGATCTTCAACTTTTGCAGTGCCTCATTTCGGTAATTTACTTTCAAAACCAAATTCAAAGACTAGTTTCTAGGTGGAAGACGTAAGCTGTCATGTTCTGCGGTACAACTTTTCTTACACACAGACAGCAAATAGACATTTACCAGCTAATCGGTTTTGTCAGTTTTTCTAGCTCTGTGTCGTTTCTCAAATTTTTCTCGTAAAAATGACTGCCAATTAAAGGAGAAGACGTCTTTTCTTACGGCATATCTTTTCCTAAGTTTTGAGTGCAGTTAGACGGAAAACTGTTTCAATGACTGTAAATATTGCTTGTGTTGTAAAAATTTGAAAATGGCGAAATTAAAAAGCAAAATATTTTTTGATTTAAAAACTAAAAGAAAAGTATGGGTGAATCAACTACACCTGATATAAATTATTGAAGGATAATGCGGTGAATATAAGAAAAATAAATCAGAAATGCTTTTCTTTTGCAAAGACTGAAAGTTTAGTCAGGTGTTCAAAAATAATGCTTTTTGAAAGGGCAAGCAACAAGCAGTCTGATTTTGCAGTTTTAAACAGCTGAATAAAGCTAGATGAAGCCTCAAACAGTGTTCGAATATATAAGCAAAATACTTTCAGCATTAATAAATTCATAAAAATTCGTTGATTGCTGCAGATTGTTGCAACATTCAAGAGGAGGCAAGACAGTGAGCAAGGGGTTTCTAGCTGGGTTACATTTCCTGACTTTAATTACGTCTAAGCCTTTAACGCAAATCATTCGTGCACTTTTTTGAGTCCTGAGTTTCATTAGAGAGGTGCCGTTTTTGTAGCAGTACAGGAATACTAAGACAGATGTTTTGCTAGTAACTAAAAGTTCAAAGGAACGTTAATGAAATTTGGAAAAGATATTCATTTTCGTTTTACTCCTCGTTGAGCATAATGTAATTTTGACGTTTTAATGCAGTTTTCTAGCAAAGAATCTTCTTATTTTACTTTTTTGTCAAACTATTTTTACTTATTCTTCTATCATTACTTTTCCTACACGTTTTAATTGCTTCGTTTTTCATGCCTCTTTATTCTCAAAATGATACCAACGTAGTTTTCCTTCAAATACACAACTACGCTTTTTTCGCGCAGCTGCTAGTTCGTTGCTTTACAACTCAAACACCAACTTTTTGACGAAATCTGACAGTGAAATTCAATTTAGTATTTATAATTTAAAAACCGTAAATTTATTTTTTTATTTTAAGAGAAGTGCCTTATGGAAAGCGTCTTTAAAAGGGCATGACGACGTTGTAAATTTTTTGTTGCAGATGGGAGTTGATGTCAATTCAAAAGATAAGTATGGGGTAGGTGTTTTGATGCGACTTTCAATTAGACGTGTAACACTTTGCCAAATTCTCAGCACCAAAATTTGTGCTTTCCAGTTACTTCGCTCTTCTTTAGTAAAAATTATGAAGCGATTATTATTGGTAAAAATTGCACTAGTTTTTTGTTGCATAAAATTATGCATCAGTGGCTGAGCATACGCACATTATTATTGCAAAACAAAATAAGAGGTTGAATTTTTGAATTTTTAAACGCTGTTTTTATGAAGGCTACAACACGAAGTATTTATGAGGTTTTGAACTGGCTATTATGACGCGGAACTTCTCCTACTGCATTTCAGGTTACACCATTGATGATCGCAACTTTCAAAGAACATTTAGCGACAATAAAGTATCTGGTGAAGAAAAAAGCAGCAGTCAATGCTAAGGATAGGAATGGCGTAAAATATTTTGTTATATCCTACATATAATTAAAAATAATTTTTTTTTTCACAAATGTGGTCGTTTATAAATTTCTTTAAAATAAGCTTCCTAGCACGGAAAAGCAACTTTTCTTTTGGAAACTGTGGACAGCGGTAGTATTGCAGAAGCAGTGCTGAGTAGACTTCTGAAAGCTTTTCCGGCCATTTTTATTTTTTGCAGTTAGCAAAAAAATTTTGAAGAGTAATTTATTAAAAGGTGCGTAGGAAAAATTTGAAAAAGTGCGGTAAAACATTTTTGTCAAATCATTAGACGGCAGAGCTGCCAATAAGTAGATTACTGGTATTGTGTCTCCATGGTCTACCGATGAGTTGCACTGTCTGAAATTAGACGAAACAGAACAATTTCCATGCTAAAAATTTTAAAGAACGCTTTTATTTCACATGATAAAAGATGCAAAACTCAAATTGCTAACTAAATGTTAATATATTCTATATATATTACGTGTTATTCAGTCTTAGACTATATTTTACAGTAATATATATTTTACATTAGTATAGGTCTCTCAGTAATTGTTTGTAGAAAGAAAAAGCAAAATTCTAGAGCTATTACAATCACTTCTTTAAGTAAGAACTAAATTTTTGTGCTCTAGAGAGGGAAAAGGCTTTAGTTAAGAGTACTAGAGTATTACAAAATAAAAGTTCAGTACTTCTAAATTTGATGCCTCAATTGTATTTTTTTCTCAGTGGACATCACTACACATTGCCTGCTGGAACGGTAATTTGGAGATAGTGGAATTTTTGGTCCAGAATGATGCCGACTGCAATGCAAAAAACTATTTCCAGGTCAATTATTCTGTATTTTCTTGTACAGTTTCTCGACATCTCATTTTTTAAAGATCTGGTATTTCAATATACTGGTTAATAAGTTTATCTGTTAAAAGTTTCAGCTTTTTTGTTCAAACTACAATGAAGTTTTACAGTTTACCTTAACACAGCTTTTTTATAACATTCATTTTCAAAAAGCTCAATTTTTTTTGCCTTCAATGGTAAGAGTCAGTATAGTCAAAAAAAAAAAATGACTACAGAAAAACTGCATTAAAAGATCAGTTCACTCTGAAAGAGTCAGTATGCATCACAAAAAAAAATTTTGCAATTTCAAGAAAAATGTGACGAGAAGATTATTTCTTTAAAAAACGAAAAGAAAGCATTTTTGTAAGAGAAATGATAATTCAGACGAATTTTAAAACAATAATATAAAAATCTGTTGAACATTTAAGGTTTAGTAAGCTTGGAGTTAATTGGTGGTTTGTGTTTAGAAGACACCATTATATATCGCGTCTGAAAGAGGATATTTTGCCGTAGCAAAGTTTTTGGTAGAGAATAAAGCTGACGTTAACGCAAGAAATCGATCTGGAGTAAGACTTTATATAGACCGTTGCAAAACAGCACTAATTTGGGTGATGATCCCAGCCTTGGCTAAAAATTAAAGCACTCGCGCAAAAATAAAAAAGAAGCTTTACCCAAAAATTCATACTTTTTCATCAAAAAAATGTGTTTCTTTTACTGTCAACAACTTCAAATAAATTCTATCAGCAGCTTAAGCAAATTTTTTAGGAAACTAAGTCTTTTAAAGCAATATTTTAATACAGCGAAAGCAATCTCCGTTTCCACGTAGTATAAGTATTACGGGTCGTTATAAAAGATGATATTACCTCAAGGTTGCTTCATGCTATTTGTACAGGCTAATTATTCATATCAAGTTCTTCAAACCAAATTATTTCAGTTCTGAATTTCAGATGATAGGCTGTATCGCAACTAAAATACCAAAATGGTCTCTATGGCAACTGACCCAAATATGGTAGTAACTCCAAAAAAGATTTTTGTTCAACCTTTTCCCTTCATCCTGCCGCTCCTTATTTTCCCACTTTGAGATTATAACAAAATTACAGCAGTTATGCTAAAAATGTATGTTACAAAGTTTGGTGGGCTTTCTACTGAAGAATTTGTACGACTAACGTCGAGTAAATTTATCCAAAAAAAAGATATGCTTTTTGAACATAATAAATAGTGTTAAATTTTCTACGAAAAGATTTTTGAGCTTTTTATATATATTTCAATTGGTAAACATTTCAAGATTAGTGTTTCAAAAAAGATGATGTTGTAACTTTTTATATGTACAGTAAATTGGGAAAGCTGCGGTGGCTTCCTTAAAATCATATATAAGGCTTAGCAGGAGCAGCAAAACGGTGTGGGCCAGACTGCATAGTTCTTGGATGATAGCTAATCGTCAAATGTCAATTAGAAAAAGAATTTGTTGCAAAAATGTCTCACAGAGTTAGATCCCAGTACTTTACATAGAACAACTGGTTCTCCAATTAATATTTGACTTGAGAGAATTCATATGACAACTACAAATAATTTACATTTTAAAAAGATGCATGAAATAAACTTTCTTTTGACCCTCAAAAATCTTGAAAAAAAATGGAATCCATGATCAGTGGGAAAACCATCCCACGTTCGGCGAAGCGCAAGGATATATCTACCAAATGCGCCTACCAAATGCGCTTACAGACGACTATGCTTTGTTCACAACGGGTTTGTTTCGCGGCTGCGCGCGTAACTGCGCGCATCCTGTTGTGAGTGCGTATGCGCTGCCATTGACCAAAACAACTCAAATTAGTGTCAGCACTTCTGAAAATCCTCATTTTAGCAACGAGATTAATTTTTTCGTTTTATAATAAAACGTTCCGGCTTAAGTGCAGAAAAAGCTAACACTTTTTGTTACACTGCAAAAAAATTTCTAAGAATATATGGAAAAGATTTTTTGGTATCTTTTCAGACTACATCACTGCACATTGCAGCATTAAATGGGCATGAGAATTTAGTAGAATACTTAGTCGATAGTGAAGCGAATATTTGTGCTAAGGATGAAACACAGGTAGAAATTTTATTTGTCGTATGTAAAATTTATTTGTTTTTTGTTTTTTGTTTTTTTTTTTTTTTGTCATTTAAGCTTTACTGTTTCATTGCTAAAGATATTGAAAACGGTCAAGCGACAAATTGTAATTGTTGAACAGAGAAGAAGGAACTGCGTAAATAATTATTTTATTAATTTTCATTAACTTTAATCTCCAAATGATTAATTTTTTTAAAATTTTTGAAGTAAATATTTTTAGAAAAAAACCTTTAACAGAATTAATTTCTTAAGTGGAATAAATGTAATAATATAGAACTGGAAGGTTTAAAAAACTGAAAACACTCAAGGGAAATTTGTTTAGAAAACACCGCTGCACTTAGCATCGTTAGGAGGACACGAAAATATAGTGAAATATTTGACAGACAAAGGAGCCAATGTTGACGAAAAATACCTGGGGGTAAGATTTTCGCTGTTGGAGAATTGACGGCAACTCATTCCATAGACACTTCAAAATTTGCCTTTTCAAATCGTTTATTTTAAAAAAGATTTTTTCAATTTCAATTTAATACTTCTTTGAATCATACTACATTATATTCCTTTTCTGTTTCTTCAGCAACTTGTTATTTCAAGTCAAATTTTTATTGAAAAACACGTTCTACTTTTTATAGTTTGTGTAAAATAAAGAAGGTTAA